CTTTTAATAAAAATTAACTATGAAAATGTGTAGTTATTATAGCATTATATTGTATCTCAAAATAAAAAAATTCTTACTAAAATGTCACAAATAATTATTAATTTATAATATAATGTAAAATTAAATAAATATATATAAATATCATATTTAACTTACAAATAAAAACAATTAATTATATATTTAGTGTTTTGTAAATTGAATTACGCTTTCCTAAGATCTTTACATTTACTAAATATCCTTTTGAAATTATTTTTTATATAATTTAGTACTGACATTTTATTAATTTCAACGTTCAAATTATACTTCAATTTTTATTGTATAATCTAACAGGAAAAACATAAATCTCATAATAAAATATAACACACCACCATTGCATTGTAATTAATATATCAATTTTGGGGTTTTTTTTTTTTTTTTGGTTGTCTTCAATTTTCTACTCCGAGTGGATTTGGACGTGGGACCACTTGTTCAGTTGTTCGGCTGTTAAGCAAAAGGCTCAAGGCTGAACAGAACCAAGCAATTGCATCATTTCCATGAATGTGAAATTTTCATGTAATTTACACCTTATGGAGAAGAAAGAATGAGTGTCTCTTCCTCAACACATTGCTTCTCGGATTGAACTTCAGCATGACAAAAACAACATCAAATCTGTTTCTTAGTATATCTAAAATAATCTTATATATTTAATCAATCTGTAGATAATGCCGTCTTCCCTTGGAGAGTGCTTGCATCTTGTAATTGAGTTATTATGGGACTGCTGAATCAAGCAGAAGCTCCTAAGACTCAGATGCAGAATCAGATGGTGTGTCAATACTCTGTTTACCATTGCCACCACTGATGAGATCCCTTATTCTGCCATCAAATTCAAGCCTGTATGCATGGCCCATCTTAGAACGTTTTGTTTCAAGGTACCTTCTATTCTCCTTTGTAATAGGAGTTAGGAGTGGAACTCTGCCTGCAATTGCCAAACCATAGCCCTTCAGCCCAATGTACTTTGCAGGATTGTTTGTCATCAACTTCATGGTTCTGACACCTAAATCCCTTAGTATCTGCATTAAAGAGTCAAAACTTAAGCGCTGCTGACTTCTTTGAGAAATAAAAGTAAACGAACCACATTAAAGTGACTAAGCAGCAGTGGTATCTAAAATCACAGGACTAATATCATATACGAACAACATATACTTGACAGTTCGAGAATAGTTTTCAGGCCTAACCTTCAAAATGGAATAAATTGTCATGAATTTGATGAAATTGAACCTCAAGGAGGCAGTCAGTGCACACACAACTGAATCACTTCAATTCTCTTTTCAAGTAGCATATGCAGAAGCATTAAGTAGAAAATAGATGCAGATGGGTCATGCTGGAGTGCTTTCATTTAAAGAAGCATCATAGTACTTTAATAAATAAAGCAGAAGGAAGCAGAAGAGTACCTGTGCACCAATACCATATTCTCTAGAATCAACAGGCAATCCAAGCTCCTCATTTGCTTCCACTGTATCACGTCCAGCATCCTGCAGGTTATAAGCACGAAGCTTGTGGCCCAAACCTATGCCTCTTCCTTCGTGGCCACGAAGGTAGACTAAAACACCCCTGCCAGCAGCCTCAATCTGCTGCATTGCAAGGGCCAGCTGATTCCCACAGTCACACCTGGCAGATCCAAATATATCACCTGTGAGGCATTCAGAGTGTACCCTCACAAGAATATCTTGCCCATCTCCAATCTCACCCTGATTGCATCAAAGAGAAGAATCAACTCATTTTCAATTCAAAATGCTTTTAAACTGTGAAAAGCCTTCATCTGAATATGGCACATAAATCCTCAAAAGAATGGATATATGGTCATCTCATGATTCTTGGTAGACTTTTCTGATGTGTGTAACTATTATGGAAAAATAGTAAGGAAGATGAATGTTAAGGCAAAAACAAAGCTCAATTCAGTTTTTTATTTCAATGAGAAAAACATCATAATTTGGTTTGTCAGGCAATCTCTGAAAACTGATTTTAACATCAAACTTTTAGATTTAAAGTGGGCTCCTTTTATGCATCACCACTACATAGAGTGGATTTATGGTTCTATATTTTGGATAAGCATAAAATTCAGATTCAAGAACTAAATTGACCATTAGACTTCAAAACATAAAATTAAAATTACAACCAAACATTTGTCTTGGATCAGAACAGCAAAAGTATATTTCACAAGGTTAATAGGGATATAAAAGTAAATTAGAAATACAGCAGGGTGAGAGGCAGGCAAGCAGCAATTAAATAGCTGACAATTGGGTTGCTTATGTATAGAATGATTGCCTTGTGCCTTAAGTTTTGGTTAAACTGAAACTTTCTTATTAGTTAAAACTGCTTAAACATGCATCACTAGAAGCATTACTTTAATTATGAGACAAGGGTACAAGCAATAAACTGATATATGGCCACTACTCAGACAGATATCATCTCAACATATTAAAATAAACACTATTCTGGACAAAATGATTGGGGGAAAAAAATTCAGTAGAAAAAAAATAAATAAAAAAACTGGCTAACAAATTACAGAATACTCACCTTAACCATTGCTATATGTTCAATCCCATCTAAGATGGACCTGTAACAGTAGGCTGTAAATGGCCCCCACATGGTAGGTATGTGTGCAGCAGCTGCACGATCAACTAATTTATCCCTCTTTCTCCTATACCTGCCAATCAAATCAATATTAGACAGTTTTCTTATGAAAAGCCTTTATAACAAGTTTTGTGGCATTTGGCTTACCATAATGAAGAAAAGACAAAATGAAGGTCCAAAAGGATAAACAAAAATTTAATTGCTGTCTACAGATACAGGCAAATCCACTGTTATGTGACCATTTCCCCATGAATATGGTCAGGTCAGGAACACACATTGAATTGGTTTAAAAGCGTAATAAACAAACCCCTGCTTGTCTTGTTCAATCAAATGGAACATAGGAGAAGGCTAATGACAATAAAGACTTCAAATTTACCTGATCAAATCAGCAATAGATATAATTTTCAAGTTTTCACGCTTGGCAAATTGACTTAGCTTTGGTAATCTAGCCATGGAACCATCATCATCAACAACCTCACAGAGAACTCCAACAGGATCCAGCCCAGCAAGCATGGCAAGATCAACAGCAGCTTCAGTATGCCCAGCTCTTTTCAGAACACCACCTTCCCTGTACTTCAGTGGGAAAATGTGACCTGGACGGTTGAAGTCCTCAGGTTTTGAATCTCTAGAAGCAAGTGCTAATACCGTTGTTGCCCTATCACAAGCCGACACACCAGTGGTGGTACCATGTTTTGCATCCTACAAATTCATTCATTCCAAATGGCAGTTAAAAACATTCAGATTGTAAACTTAGATAAGTAAACAACATGAAAACCTGAGAAATAGAAAGCCATCCTACACATGAGAAATTCACTAAATAACTATATTTTAGAGAAAATCCAAGAAGGTAACTTTCATTTATGTTATCATCATATGTGGTCAACAGGCATCATGTTAAAGGATACTTCTCATGCGCATGCAGATCCAAACCCTAAATATGATTTTTAGTGATGCTATTAAAAAATAAATGCTATATAAATTAAATCTCAATGTTGAAATGCCATTTCTATTCTCATAGAAAGCATACTGGTACAATGAAATTACAAACCACTGCTACCATGAATGCAGTCCAAAGTTTCTCTGCATTACTAATTTGAAGAGTACCATACCACTGTTACCATAAATGGTATAGCAATTGAATCTCAATGTTGAAGTGCCATTACTATTTTGAGATTGTCCATACCATACAAAATCAGGAAAGAAACATACCACTGTTACTGTGAATGCAGTACGAAGTTTTTCTTCATTTTCCTTCTGGTTTACCATCAAAGGAAGTTGCAACCTCTCTAGATCTTCCTCTTTCATGCTTACACAAACAATCCCAGTTCCATGCTTCACAATAAAAGCCATAGCTTCAGGTGTCACTAACTCTGCTGCCATTATCAGATCTCCTTCATTTTCTCTGTCCTCATCATCAACAACAACTACCATCTGAAATAGTTGTTAAGATTACCAATGGATAATTAGTTAAAACATATATGGAAAAGACCTGACCAAGTATTGCCAGTGATGTTACAAAAGGCACCCAGAGCAAACAACCAACCTTTCCTCGGCGGATGTCCTCAATGGCCTCAGGGATGGAAGAAAAACATTCAGTGGGACAATCCAAGTCAAATTCATCATTATCAATGGGAAAACCAGTAGCTATTGGTGCAGTATCTGCTGCAAGTGTTCCAAAGGCTATTGCATCTGGGTGTGCCTCAATCTCAACTGATTTATCACCCCAGAGAGTACCATTTGCCACAGCTTTATTCAAAAGGTCACCTTCCCCAGATACCACAGCTGCTCTTGTTTTCCCCACACTCTTGATACCAAACAGTGTTCTACTACCCAGGCATAGCAAGGCCAAATCCGGTGTGTGGCCATTTGCAGAGAAAAGATTCACACTATGCAATCCATTGAACAATTTATAGCCCTTGCATGCTCTACACAGAAAGAAAGGTTACTATAGAATTTCATATCACCTCATCAATAAGATAACAAAAATTAAGAGGTTAAATAACTTTTTACTTAGCAGCCAAATGGTGTCTTAACAGGGTAAAGCTTAAAATTTGAAGTTGGAGGTCTCAAAGTTCTAATCTTGAGACGAGCAGGGAGGACTTGGGAAAAGGGAGGGCTAACCTATTGTATACGAACTTAGCACTTTGAATAACATAATAAATCAAATTCAACACCATAATGGTTTTGTTTTGCTTCCATCAATTTCTCACAGCAACCAAAGACGAGTAATTTTAGCATTCAACAAACTATCAACTAGATCAAATTCGTTGCTTACAGACAATTCTAAGAAATTCAAAGAAAATAGGACTAAATTGTGATTCGTGATTCAAAGTGTGATACCCTTTTAGTTAAAATGAGCCAAAAACTAAATTTTGGTGTCTGAATCAAACAAACAATCAAGACCAATTTAAATCAAAACCGCAAACACTGCAAATTTGAAGGAAAACCACCAAAAAACAAGAAAACAAAAATGAAGAAAAAAAAAAAAACAATGGACCATTTAGCAGAGAGAAACTTACTGAGTACAGGAAAAAGCTGATGTTGAGGGGGAAGAGAGACTGATAGAAGAAGCCATGGAAAGCTGAAATCCAAAATCTATTCTTCCCTGCAAATGTATGGGGTTGGGTACGTATATGGTGGGTTCTGGAAAAGGGGAAGGATTACGAAGCAACGGCGAACGGGAGGCGTATTAAAATGTTTGTTTATATTTCCTGCGGGTGAGGTAGGTCGGTTAACTTGGTTTGGCCCTTCAACTTTCTTACGTGGATGACTGAATTGCGGAGTGGAATATGCCCGACCAATTTAAATTGGTTTAGTCTTTCCAAAAGGAAGAAAAAGACAAGGGATAAATGCCACTTAATTTCTCCTAGCCTTGTCTACACTTATTGTAATTGATAAGATAATTTCTCCTAGCCTTGTCTACACTTATTGTAATTGATAAGACTTTTCAACAAGTATATTTTTATAGTGTGAATTATATTAAATTATAAAATAAAATTTTTTTAAAAAATAATTTTTGTGCATTTGCGGTTTTAACCGCGATAGAAATGCACCAACGCTCTTGACTTCTTTGTTAAGGGTTCAAGTTGCTAGTGCAGCAATCTTATAACTATTCTCTCTATTCTCTCATCCCTCAATTTCTCATTGGTCAAAAAAATAATAATAATAATTTTTGTATAATTTTTTATTTATTTTTTTATATAACTTGACATGTTATTAAAATAATTAATTTTTTTAATTTATATAAAACCCGTAATATTGAATGCATTCACTTATTTAATGACACGTGAAAGTTATATAAAAAAATAATATAAAAAAGTTATCCGTATATCATCACCCAAAAGTATTATATAAAAAGATAATTTAAATATTAATGTTCATTTGGTTTCTATATTTAATGATTTAAGTTATATGTGTTTTTAGTTATTTTTAATAATTTTAGTTGAATTTTTTGACTTTTAAAATATATATTTTATATAAAAATTTAATAATTTACATATGTGAATAACAATTAAAATTTTTTTCTCATATATAGTTGTGATTGAATATTTTTATTGGATTAAAAATATTTTCAATTATTATTTAAACAATATATTAAATTTTCATTTAAAAATTATATTTGAGAAGTCAAAAAATTAAATTAAAATTATAAAATTAAATAAAAAGAGTAATTTAATACAATTTAAATTATACAATATTTTTTATTTACTAGACAGAATTTTTCATATAAATAGAATTAACGCTTTTCAATCTAAATTGACATTAACAACACTTAAAATTAAGGGAAAAAGGAAAGATAAGAAACCTTTGTTAGTATTATCAATTTTTTTTAAAAGAAATTGAATTATACAATAAAAAGTAACTAATCTTTATGTCTTAACTCATTACATTCTTCACTTTTAGGAAAAGAGATTATTGTTATTCCTATTTAGAGTAATTACCAAAAACATTTAAAATTGTAGTTGTCTAGATTATGCATTTTTTAAAAATCCTTTTTAACAAAGAAATATAAGAATATTGGGTATTTTTATTTTATTTTACAAATGTTTTAATAGCATCAAGATACTTTGTAAAACGAGGGTAAAACGTAAGCCGTGACGTTGAATCATTAAAATGGAAAGAAAAAGATACTATTTTGAACTAATTTATTAGAAAAAAAAAATAAGTTGACTCCTTGAATGGCAAAATTTTAAAAGTTGGATTCCTTAATAGTGGTTCCTTTTTGCCGCTTAAGTTGTGGCCTACATATATCATGATTTTTGCGTTTTAAGTGACCTATTTTATTTGGTGGAGGAATCAAAATATTATCTTAATAGTATAAGTAACACTCAAAAGGTGAAAGGACATATAGTTAATTTTTTTATATATTATTTACTTATTTTTATTTAGTTTATTTATTATTGAAGCTACTTTATGTTTTAATGGATAGATTTACCGATTATACTATAAGTACATTTTAGATAACTAAATTACTTTCTATATGGATGTGGAAATTGTCTTGTAACTATTTTACCTCTTTTATTAATATAAAGGTCATTTTATTCTTAAAAAAATTAAATCTTAATTTCAAGTTATAATTTATGGTTCTAACAAAAGATTAGTCAAGCTAATAAAACTCTTAATTTAAATCAAAATTAAGGATTGAAACCTTGCAACATGGGTCAACTAATTCTTTATATACAAAAACAGTTACTAAGGTTTATGAGTTTTTTTTTCTGATAAACATATGAGATTACAGAAAAATATAATGTTTTGACATTAAAAATATTAATATATCTTATTAACTACAAAATGAATAAGACATATTATAAATCTCACTTATAATTTATGGTTTATCGACCACCTACTTTGAAAATATAAATTTAAAAGTAATTATTAATTAATAATTACTACTTTTTATCTTAAAAATAACGAAATTTATTTTTATTTTAATTATAAATGTAATGTGTTAATTTTTTATTAGTTTATTTTAAATTAAAAATAAAATTAGTTTTTTAATGTAAAATTTCACATTTTTAATAAAAAAATAACACAATCATTACTTAATTATTATTTCTTATTTTGTATTAAGATACAAAATAGAAAAACTTTAAAATTTGTTTATCATATAATTAAAATTAAATATTTTAATATTTTTAATATTGTTCGGGGGTGTTGGTGATGTAGATGGATGAGTCAGCAGTGGTGATGATGTGGAAGCTGATTAGGATAACACCCAAGAAAATGGAGGGTTTTTTCGGCGGCACCCGTCTCACGTGCAGAAGGCTACATGCTACAGGCCATCCCACTCCACTGGACAATGATGCCTTGCAGTGAACTCTCCAACGAAGCTTTTGAAAGGATCTTCCAACAAAGCCGATGGAGTTAGGCAGCAATGGCGGGATTCCAAGGGTTCAAGATGATTACATAACTACCAAAAACATGTTGAGGAGAAGTTGTGTGTTGTTAAGAAGGGGCAACAAAGATGGAAAATACGTGTAGTTCAAGGGTTACAACTTGAGAGTCATATTCATACATCAATCATTGTGACATGGTAATAATGATAATAAATGTGACCTCCTTGATCTCTATGTATATCTTTACTCTATAACGAATAATTCTCATATTAAAAATGAAAAGTACAGCAACTTCACTCTTGAGATTCTTCCAAAACAAAAGGATAGACTTGAGAATGGTGATGGGAGAAGTAAGGATGACCGCTTAGGAGCTTACGAATGGAGCACTTGATCTCGTCTTTGATGCTAACCTTGCGACCTTGATTGTTTAATGCTCAAGAAGAACTATTCGAAAGCTGGAACTGCAGTTCGTTGTTTCCTAGCCATAATGTCCTATAGATCTGGAAATGTTCTACGATGTTGGGTGATATTTTACAATGCTGGAAAATGTTCTGTAAAGCTGGATAATGTTCTGCGGAGCTGAAGACATAGGAAATCCAAGAAAATGGTGATTTCCGGATGGTTTCAACATGCTGGGCAGGAGGTTGAAGACGAGGTATTTTTTTAGGGAAAAATGGGAGTTTTGATGAGTGAGGAAGAAAGGTTGAAGTTAGGTGTGTCAATCTGTTTTTTTTTTTTTTTTTTTTTTTTTTGCTGTATGTATCTAAATCTTCTTGTTCTCCAAAATGAAGGGTAGATAATTTATATATATATGCAGTGGTATTGTTGTAATTTCTAGTTGATGGCTTAGAGGTATGTAGATAGGTTGGGGTGAGCTGTTAAATTTTTAGTGGTTCTAGGCACTATTGGCAACTTTGTGACAATGGCATCATGAATTGCCCAATAGTTCCAGTGAAGCTTCATTGGTTCTAGCAAAAAACTGGAAATTGTATATTTCTGACAATGCCCCTAGCCATACAAAATCTCATCTTTGGGGAGGTGGTTGAGTGCAGCCGACAAAAACAACATTTGCACAGGATTTGGTAAGTTCCCCAAGCCCTGTGCAAGATGTTGAAAGATTCTCCAAGCAAATAATAATCTTTTACAACAGTTTCTAAATCCATGAAACTTGTCTAGCCACCCTTGCATTAAATATAGCTACAAGTTGATGATAGTGGCCAAGATAGCATCTCTGGTTAGTTTCTAGCGGGATTTTCAGCCTTCGATTAGCATCAAACGGCACTGTTCTGATAATCAAGTTCATTTCCAGGTCTTCGCCACCCAGCCCTTTTCTGGCAAAGTTAGGCAACATTGCCAACGCCAAGCTCCGCTGGTGCAGATGCCTTGCTTCGCTAGACGAGTAGCATTCATCCATCCATGCCTGCCAAGCCATTACTCCCATAGTTTATCCCAAATAATCCCCATGAGATTGGATTCATGAGCTTGTGTTTATCTACAGTAACAACAAGGCACATGTGAGCATATATTTAAGAATAAGAAATATATAGGCATATGCAGCAAAGAAGGAAACTCTTTTGTGTGTTGAAAGGGACTACGTGGATGAATATTCGCTGCTCTCGTTTGCTTGCTAACCATGGCCAGCATTAGTATACTGCTATTGTACATGACTGGCGTTGCACCAGAATGAGGAACAAGTGATATGGGCGTGTATTGCGATATCATTGTCTCAAGCCAAGTTTCGCTGGCCGGCGATACCCGCTGACACGTAAGACATAGAAAATATGTGTTATGAGTCAGGGTTACCAACGATCGGTAATTTTATCCCTTTGTATAGAAGAGTGACAATGTGCATGACTTCCGGCCATGTTATGTATGTATTACGGAGTCAGCCATGTATAACCTTCCTATAGCCAAAGGAACAATAGTGGCTAGTTTTGTTCATGGTTAGAGCGTGAACTATGTGGAATCAGAAGAGTACTCCCACTAATCCGCCAAGCCACGAAAGGGTAGATCTCATTAAACTAGATGTCGCCATAGCGATGAATATGTATAGAAAAAGGTGGAGTTGTCTCTATGAAAGGGGGATGCCAGCTACATCCATGGCCTCTAATACGACAAGGTATGATACCACTGACAAACGTTGGCCCTTCTTGCCGTACTCACACCGTTAGAGGGTGGTCCTGGTTATTGTTGCCTGCTGGGCACCACACCACCATGCACGAGCAACCACCAAAGGACTGTCAGTCGTTACTTGATGGATTTTTATTGCTGAAGGGTAGTCATCCCATCCAATCGTAGAGTTGCAATTGTTATCGATCTCATGCTAATTGTATCGAATTATGCTAACTCTTTGTCCGAATCTAAGAGCCTATGAGATAGAATATATAGAAATTTGACCCTTTGTCCGTTCCTGAGAGTCGATGAAATGAAGATATGTAGAAATGTGTAGCATTTTGTTCATTGCTGGAGGCTAAATGAAATAACAAATCTGGCCATTTGTCCATCGTTGTGAACTGTGTAAATATAATAAAATCAGCCCGTTGTCCATTAATGGAAGTCATGTAGCAAAATAGGCTCTTTATCCATTGTTGGGAGCCAAAATATATAGCAGTAAACATCACTGTATAACACATAACAATCAAAATTGCCCAGTCATGTTATGCAGATAATCTAGCCGTGTCTGGCCAAATGTAAGGGAATGCTGCTGAAACAGAACATATTTATATCATTCCCAACAGAGTGGATAAATGCCACTCCTGGTGATATATGAGAGAATAATGTTGAATACTACTTTCGATGATGTTGACTCCATTACAGTAATTAATAAAAAATAGGGATTATATATTCGATGTGAGAAATGAACGTTATGGACCTTTATTAATGTGGATCCGCACACCTCATTGGTTTTATCACCATACAAATTCATTTCTCAACAAATATCAAAATATTTTAATTATCATTTTTTTTTTTTACAAACATATACAGTTGTTTTGTCTCGGGCTATGTGATGTAAGATACATGCGACCACGTATGATATGGCCAGTCCCATTTGCTTGTGTTGTGATAATTACAGCTCCCCAACACTAAGAGACAAGGGGGCTGGCAATTGGTAAGCATGGAGGCGTGGGGCAGCAGCCCAACGCCAACAATATAATTAAAGGAAAATTATTAGTATATTTTTCTATTCAACCCATTTAATAATATTTTTTTAATTTACTTATTTAAAAATTAATATTTTTAAATTTAAATTTAAAATAAAAAAAATCTTTTAAAATAAAATTTAATTATTAAATTAAAAAATATTATTAAATATATTAAATCTATAAATATATTAAATTAAAAAATATACACATCATTATCTATAATTAAAAAACGCGGGAAATTAGTCAGCAAGGTGGCGTGGAGCAACAGCACACCACCAACTGTATAATAAAAAATAATAACTGATGCTCATCCAGTCAGCTTCCATATGCGTTGCGGGTTGCCGCATGCGGCATGCCAGTAACAGTGGCCCCACTGCAGGCAGAAAACCTGAAATCTAATGTCCACACAAAAATATTGTGGTCTAACCATAAATAGTTGCATCTGCCAAGTCCAGACCACTAAATAAATGAAAAAAAAAAAAAGTGTTTTGTAATTTAAGTAGTATAGAATTAAAAAATATTAAATTATTAATTTAGAGTGATTTCTTAATATTGAAAAGGTTATTTATTTAATAATGATATTTTATTGCCTATTGCAAAATCTAAACTCATTAATGCAAGTTCATGCTAAAAATAAGAAAATAATTTAAGAATAACTTTATTTATTTTAGTTTTTTTACAGTTTTTTGTGTTATTTAAATAGTTAATTAATTTATTTACTTAAAATTGATGATATTTAACATATTTATTCATTTAATAATATATAAAAGTTATATAAAAAATTATACAAAAAAATTATTCCTATATTACTATCTCTAAAAATAATTAGATTTGTTAAGGTACAAGTTAAGTCTCATTATTTAAGGTATTTAAAATTAATTTTATACGAATTTTTATATCAAATTTATATTTTTTTATAAAATTTAAGTATAAATATTACATTTTATTTTTATTTTAATTTTTATATCTTATTTTAGTTAAATTCAACAAAAAATTTATATAAATTAATTATAAATACTATTATTAATAAAATTTAATCTATTCTTTAAGGCTCATATTAAAAAATCACAAAATAATTAAGGAAACTTCAAGTTATATTTGGTATAGTTGGTGAGAAGTTTTTTAGACTCTAAAAGCTCTAACTATACAAAACACTACAACATGTGAAAAATACAACAACTTCTCACAAGTTAGTATTTTATCAATTTCATTACAAATTTTAAAAGCACCGAATTAATACTTTTACAGGAGTTTCTCATTTGAATTTTAATAAAACTAACACATTATTTACATTTTATTTTTATTTTTCTTTCTATTTACAATAATAATACTTTTACAACAATTTTTTTTCAATAAAAACTTTTATTAAAAGTTTCAATCATATCGAACAAGCATTTTGTTAGCGGGTGGAGCAGCACCTTTCTCCTTTTTTCCTCTCTTTTCTAATCATTTTACCCCTCATTCCCCTCTTTTCTTCCGTCACGCCATTTCATTATCTATTTCGTTTGATATTTTAGTGTGTATGTTATGACTTATTAAAATAATTATTAATCATTAATTTTAATAATTTACATTAAATATTTTAAATTATAAATATTAATAATTATTAATTATTAGATATCAATTATCAATTATTAATTATTAAATAAAAAAAAACCTAATCTAAACTACCTATTTGTCTTTTTGTTTTGTTTTTTAAGATTTAATCTCTTCTTGAGGATTTTTCTTGTTCTATACCTTCTCCATTCATTTTTAATAAATTTAATTTTTTATTTAATAAAATAAAAATTTAACAATTTATTAATAAACTTTATATTTATCACTAATTAAGTATACTACCTAAGTAAAATTTCTTATTTAATATATATTGTAATTATCTTTTA